AAGGAACAGGACTTTGCCGAGGCAACTCAGGAACCTGGCCTGGCCTTCGCTTTCGGCCGGTTCGATGGCATTCTCGGATTGGGTTATGATACCATTTCCGTCAATAAGATCGTTCCTCCCTTCTACAACATGTTGAAGCAGGGACTTCTGGACGAGCCCGTCTTTGCTTTCTACCTTGGCGATGCCAACAAGGAGGGCGATAGCTCCGAGGCCACCTTTGGTGGTGTTGACAAGAGCCACTACACTGGCGAGCTGATCAAGATCCCTCTTCGCCGCAAGGCCTACTGGGAGGTCGACCTCGACTCCATTGCCCTCGGTGATGACGTTGCCGAGCTTGAGAACACTGGTGTCATCCTCGACACCGGTACTTCCCTCATTGCTCTCCCCTCCAGCCTTGCTGAGATGATGTAAGTTCCTCGGGTGAATTGTCCATGGAATCTATGCTAACAATTGCACAGCAACGCCCAGATTGGTGCCAAGAAGGGTTGGACTGGCCAGTACACCATTGACTGTGCCAAGCGCTCCTCTCTGCCCGATGTGACTTTTGCTTTGAGCGGTCACAACTTCACCATCAGTGCTTTTGACTACACCCTTGAGACCCAGGGCTCTTGCATCAGTGCCTTCATGGGCATGGACTTCCCTGAGCCCGTTGGTCCCCTGGCCATTCTGGGTGACTCATTCCTGCGCAAGTGGTACAGCGTCTATGACCTTGGCAACAGTGCCGTTGGTCTCGCTAAGGCCAAGTAAACGATGGGTTCACGCAGCGTATTCTCATGCTATGTCCGCAAGATGGAGGGGATGATATCGCATATATTAGCTCGACCCCCTAGCGCGCAGTAATCATTGTTATTATGTTATGATTCAAGAAATGGGTCACATTTGAACCCAGTTGTTGCTTTTGCCCAGGCTCCTTTTTTTCCCCACTGATCAATGTGTACTGCTGTGACTAGTACCGTAATCATCGTGTATGAATCTATACCAGTACAATGAAAGCACGATTTAGGTCGTGTTGATAAATAGCATCTTACAGGAGCGTTCGTTCGTCTTTGTTTTCTTTGTGCAACAAATAATGATGATGGATGATGACGAGGTCTGGGCCGGAAGCCGGTGGTTTTGACGGAAACCCGAGAGTCTCGCCCCCCCCCCCCCCGCACAGGCCAATTCCAAGCGGCTGATGGACCGACGCTTGGCATTACCACAACCACTGCTGCTGCTCCTGCTGCTCCTGCTTGCTGGAAAACTTGCTACTGCTCCTCTGGCGTTCTTCTTGCTCCATCTCCCCACCCACCCACCACTTCCTTCACTACTTCCCACTCTCGTGACCTCTCCTCTCCTCTCCTACTTTCCCCTTCCACCTCCCCTCATGCAGTTTTCTTGTTCCTGATCGCATCCCCCCAATTACCAATTACCACTCTCTTTCATCATCATCATCATCATCATCATCATCAATCCTCGTATTTTTGCCATAAATTACCCTTTTGACGCTCGTCTTGCTAGCCTTTCTCAACCGTGGTTTGTGTTTCGTCGCGTTCGATTCGCGTGGCGAGCCATTTGCGACCAGCTGATCCATAGAACTGACCGCGGTTGTCTTTCATTCAACCCCCATCTTTTGACCATCACAGCTTCGGAGCCTTTTCTTTGTACACCTGCCTACCCACCTACCTGAATAGTACATATAGTACCGATCCGAGCAATCATCGCCCCGTCGCGTCTCTGGATCACAACAGAACCCCAGCTTTCTCCGATCCTTCCCCTCCTGCCTCCATCTTTCTACAGCGGCTGCAGCGGTTACCGAAGGCGTTGTCTGGTTTTTGTTACTGCTTCGGGCATGGCTTCCTAGTTCCTCGGCTCGATCTTCCTTCCATCGCGATTTCCTTGATCATTTGTTTTACACACCACCCTTGCTTCCCTGACTCCCATCGTTTATGAGAAGGAGGGCAAAGAGGGTTGGTTGATTTCGCTACTGGACCAAGGATTGGTGTGGGCTACATTATAAATGCTTGTTCGGTTACCACCCAGCCTTCACTACCCGATCACCGTAACGTCGTTGCTCAAACAGCCCGGCGATGCGGTGGAAAGGGAGGATGCGCTGTTCTGGTATGTCTACCAGACCACCGTCACCGAGGGTGACGGGCTGGGAAATAAAGTCGAGGTGAAGCGCAAATTTCCGACCAAATTTGAGTCACCCGTCGACGGCGAATTGGTTCAGTGGAGGATTGCAAAAGGGGATGTCATCAATGGGCCGTATGTCACCATGTGAACCGGGAACCTACGTTTCGAGGTTCGATTGCTATTTCATTTCGGGGGCCGAGACTGACTGCAGCTGCTATGTTCCAGGGTCGATTTTATGGAGGTCGATGAACCATGTGCTCACGAGGTTCAGTTCGGGGGGCTTTGCGCAGAGTGTGGCAAGGATATGACTGCGTATGGATCTCAAGCGCACGTACAAGTTTGGCTTTCAAGGGATTGCTAATGTCTGAGTGATAGATCCACCTACAACTCGGATTTTCAGGATGTTATGCGCGCGACGATCCCGGTGACCCACGAAAACACCGGTCTGACTGTGAGCGAGAGAGAGGCGACGCGGGTGGAAGAGGATGCCAAGCGCAGCTTGCTGTTGAATCGGAAGCTGTCCCTTGTCGTCGATTTGGACCAGACGATCATCCAAGCAACCGTTGACCCCACCGTGAGGGAATGGATGGAAGATAAAGACAATCCAAACCACAAGGCTGTCAGCGATGTCCGCGTGTTTCAGCTGGTCGAAAATGACCCGGGAGCGCGTGGAGTATGGTACTATGTCAAGTTGCGGCCCGGGCTGGAGTCTTTCCTGCATAACATCTCGGAGATGTTTGAGCTGCATATCTACACCATGGGTACTCGGTCCTATGCGCAACATATTGCTGCTATCATTGATCCCGATCGTAAGCTGTTTGGAGATCGGATCTTGAGTCGAGACGAGAGCGGCAGTCTTACAGCCAAGAATCTACATCGGTTATTCCCTGTGGACACCAAGATGGTGGTCATCATCGATGACCGTGGGGACGTTTGGCGCTGGAGCCCCAATCTCATCAAGGTAGTGCCGTACGACTTCTTCGTCGGCATTGGAGATATCAACTCCAGCTTCCTGCCCAAAAAGCAGGAACTGGTCTCTCCAAGCGTACCGGGCGAGAAGTCTGCGGCAAAGACAGTAGAAATATTGCCCCGTGAGCATAATGCTAACGGGGCTACGGTCAGAGCAGGGGATCAGCCGGAGATGTCAACATTGGAGCAGCTGGTGACGATGGGTGGAGGAGACGACCCTCGCATACTGCAGGAACAGAGCGATGCACAAAATGAGACAATCATGCATCAAGTCGAAGATCGACCGTTGTTACAGAAGCAGAAGGAATTGGATGCAGAGGAAGACGCCGCTGAAAGTAGTGATTCATCGAGTAGCATGGACGATTCACCGGAGATGAACAAACATAGACATCTTCTTCTAGAGGACAACGACCGGGAGTTGTTTGATCTGGAGGTTCGTCTTGAGCAGGTACATCGCAACTTCTTCGACGAGTATGACCGGCGAAGGTCACGAGCGCTGGGAGGACGAGTGGCAGCTTTGCGGGGCGAGAAGACACCCTCAAAGGAGAAGGACGTCGACTTGAAGCTAGTCCCCGACGTCAAGGACATTATGCCGGCCATCAAACGCCGTGTTCTCAGCGGTGTTGTCTTGACTTTCACAGGAGTCCTTCCTCTTGGCACAGATACACACAACGCGGACATCTCTCTTTGGTCCAAGAGTTTCGGTGCGACTATCAGTACGAAGATCAACTCCAGAGTCACCCATCTCGTGGCCGGACGAAATCGCACGGCTAAGGTTCGAGCTGCAACGCGGTACCCCAACATCAAAATCGTCAGGACACATTGGTTGAGTGACTGCTTAACACAATGGAAGCGCTTAGACGAGAAGCCTTATCTCCTGCCTGTGCATCCAGATGATCGCGAGCCACCCATTTCGCCAGGCAAGGAAATGGAGAGTTCATGGCTGTCATCTGAGGAAGGAACGGGGGTCGCTGGCACGGAGGAGGACGAGCCTGAGATGACGGCTGATATCTTGCAATCGTCTGGACTGACCGAGATGTCTCCTATCGGGTATGATGCCGATCAACAAGCAGCCATCCACGAAGAATTGAAAGAGTTCCTCGGCAGTGACGACGAGAGCGAGAGTGACAGCGATGCCTCCTTCATGGAAGATGCCCCCACTACGGCGCCCAGCAAAAAGCGGAAGCGTCCAGAGGATACCGAGGAAGAGGAGGACGAAGGAGGAGATAACGGAGACAGGGCGCAAGACGCCGGCGCCCCTCATGGCTCGCGACTCGCGCAGCGGATTCGGCGGGTATATGAGCGGCCCGGCACCACCCTCTCCCAAGCAGTGTCCAGTGCAGCCAACTCGGAATCGCCCAGCAGTGAACCGGAGGAGCAGGTCGATGCGCCTTCGGGATCCCAACCAGCGGACACGATGCCGGCTCCGGAAGAAGAGGACGATGAGCTCGAACGGGAGATGATGGCGGCGTTTGAAGATGGTGATTATGACGCGACGGCCGAGGAGAAGATCGCGGTAGAGAACGGTTGACTTTAGTTAGCAGCTCTAGACGTTGTCTTTGTTCTGGATGGATAGGCTAGCGTTCATACTACGCTGTTGTCATCGGTGATAGGAGCATTTTTGATTCGCGATCATGCTGGCAAGGCATAGCGAGGGCGTTTGTGCGCGATTTCCGTCTACGCCGGAGTCAAATCTTTTATTGGGGGTGTGTGACATAAGACTCAGGTATCGGGTTTAGGATTTTCGAATTTGAATGTGTATTTGAATTGAATCAGGTATGATCTTGAAATGTAGACTGAGGTGTATTTTGGGGGAGATGCACTGATGCACATATTCCGATTAGTGGAAAGAATGATAGGGGGGGGGGGGATAAAACAACCTGCAAAGTTGAATAAGGATACACATAACGTAGATCGTTCATACATCAGAGCTGCCAATAGAGTCCAGTCATGCAATCATCTCACATCCATCACATCACGATTCAAGTCATCCAATCATAAAAATCATCGGTTGGTTTTTCCAGTCTCACATCCCATCCGCCTCGCTAAACTTATACTACTATGTAAAGTCGGTATTTCAAAGAGAAAGCAAATAGGAACATCATCGATAGATATCGCGATGCACCTGCCACGACATGATCATCATCCAGGCATAGAAGATGGTATTGATCAATTCGAACGCAAACGCCGTTCGCCAGCAGTTACCTAACCACCAATTCCAGAAATTAGCCAGTCGTTCGTTCGCCTTTCGAAGTTCCGCAACACCACCACCACCAGCAAAAAAAAAAAAAAAAAAACAAAAACACCTTCAAATCATAAAAGAGGGGGCAAAGGGTGAAGGGCAGGGGGCATGGTAGCATACAGATGGTACTCTCGGTCAACCACGCCAAGGTCTGGAGATTATCGCCGGTGGGGTGGTCCTTGATGAGGATGTAGTTGCGGCAGTTGCTGTCGACGTTGGCGACGACGCCGTACATCTGCAGGCTGGTCTCGATCAACCCGGTCAGCCACAGGGCGAAGAGGATGAAGCTGCCGACCAGGATGATGCCGGGTAGGAGGAAGCGTTGGGCCGTCAGGACGTAGATTAGGATGATGAAGAAGAGGCCGAGTGCGGCGGTGACGGTCATGTAGGGGAAGAGCCTTTTTTTTTTTGCGTTAGTATTTGTGTTTGGGTTGGGTTTAGGGGGCAATTGAGCTGTGAGCTGCGGGGGGGCGGGAGGCAAAGGGCTGCTGCACACTCACCATGGTATATCCAGATGCAGCTCGTTCTGGACGGACATGAACCAGGCGAAGATGCCTAGGCAGATGGCGTTGGCCGATAAGACGATGATCAGCCAGAGGTTGAGCTGGAGTTCGGGCCAGTGGTAGCGGCGGCGACGGTAGATGCGGACGCCGGCCATTGTTGGGGGGGGGGGGGGAGGCTTCGCCGGCGGGCGAGATTGGTTTGTTCTTGTTGTTGGTGGTGGTGGTGGTGGTGGGTTTGATCAATAGGTGGATGGGTTTTGTTGGTCGTTGCTTGGACTAAGAGTGGTAGGCTGGTAGGTTGGGGTAGGGTTGGTGGAGAATCGTGTTGATATATGAGTTGATGATGTTGTTGATATACATACAGTACTTACTGTACATGTACACCCGTCGTCGTCGTTTGCTGGAAGGTTAGGTTGGGTTGCGTTTGGCTGCATTCGAACAATACACTATCGCGAGGGTCGATCGTCTGGTATATGATGAAACACTTCAAGGTTATGCGATCGATGGGTTGGTTATATTTAGCTCCAGCTCCGCGGTCGAATCCCTCCAGTAGTAGCGGACACGCTGACCGCTGCTCCGCTCTCAGCTCCACAGCTTCAGCTTCCAGATGACGATGACGATGACGATGTATGGTGTATGGTGTATACGGCTGGTGTATACTTCAAGGGCAGCAATAGGGCTGCGGGCCACCTCAGTCAGTCAGGCAGAAACCGCCCACATTCCCTTGCAGGGCATTCGATTCGATGGATGGCGATCGGGTCCAGACTCCGTGGTTGTCAGTGCATGGAACGTCGGTCTGGAAAGGCGTCACCGAGTAGTCACGCTGTGGGATGATTGACGGGGAAGTGGACGAGTCAATTGGGCTGTGATGGTGATGCTGTTGTTGTTGTTGTTGATACGGAGTACTTGCGGCGCCGTTGGGCGGGAGTGCGCCGGTAGCTTCAAGGTTGGGGATTGCAGGAGCAGCAGCAGTAGCAGCAGTAATACAATTAACGAGACGCTCTGTTTCAAGACAGCAGAAGTGTCAAGAGACTAGCTCATTCTTTGGCGTCGGAAGTGCAGAAAGGTTTTCATGAAAGCAAGAAATGAAGGACAGATCGGATGTGATCGAAGCATGTGGAATTCGGGTGGCTGGAAATTCGGTGGCAGGGAATTTGGCGCTTAAGCTAACTGAAGGTGCAGTGCGGAGAAACTCCATCTACTCCATATAAACAACAACAACAATCCCAATCACAAACCAACACATGCACATACGCAGACCAATACTTTAACAAAGTCATTATCATCGCATTTCATGTCAGTCTAACCTTTTCTCTATAGTATACAGAGACTATAATCTAAGTCAAATATAAGTCTTTCGTTCTACAACAGGGTATCACCCAGAGCACTGCGCACCAGCGAGCAGCCCGTGCGGATCGTGTCGCTGGCGCCTGCTTCCTCCAGACTGGGGTTGACTTCCACCAGGTCCATCGCCACCAGGTTGCCGGTCTCGTGCACACACTCGGCGATGAAGTCTCCCTCGCGCAGAGTCAACCCACCGCGCACCGGGGTACCCGTGCTGGGCGCCCACTGGGGGTCCAGAGCATCGACGTCGAACGACAGGTGAATGGGAGTGTCGTTACCAACGTGCGCCAGTGCCATCTCCACCACGCGACCAATACCGTAGCTGCGAATTTCATGTCAGAGCCCACCAACCATTACACCCAGAGGGCAGAAGACTTACCGATCAACATCGTGCATGCTGAAGGCCTTGATGCCGTGCTCGCGCAGCAACTGCTTCTCGCCGCGGTCGACGTCGCGCAGACCGATGTATACCAGCTTGCGGGTGTTGACAATGTGCTCATCCTTCAACCAGCCGAAGATGTCGGGGCGCTCCTCGCGGGCCAGGCGCGTCAGGAAGGCCATGGGCATGCCGTGGATGTTGCCGCTGGGGCTCATCTCGGGCACGTTGATGTCGGCGTGGGCATCCACCCAGATGACCGCCATCTCGCGGCCCAGACGCTCGCGGATGGCCTTGGCGGTGCCGGAGATGGTGCCAATGGCGATGGAGTGGTCCCCTCCCAAGGTCAGCACGAACTTGCCCTCCTTGGCGTGCTCGTAGACCTGGTTGCTCAGCGCCTCGGTGACCGCGCTCACCGCCCGGGGCTTCTTCATGCCGCGGTGGTCGGGGTCCTCGGTCGGCATCTTGTCCTCGTAGTAGTGGACCTTGTCGTCATAGTGCAGCTTGTAGCCCAGGTCGTCGCGCAGTTGATCGAGGAGGCCGGCTTGGACGAGGGCCATCGGAGCAGCCTCGACACCCATCTTGCACTAAATTTTGTAACAACGTTCTCGATTAGTCTTGCTGCTGCTGCTGCGCCGCCCGCTAGACTCCGCGCAGATCGGCGGCGGCGGCGGCGGCGGCGGGACTAGAGTGAGGGGAAACGTACCTGACCGCCATTGAAGCCAACGGCCACTACACCCAGCTCGTTGGGCTTGGAGAGGAAGCGCTGACGAATAGTGGAGGGAGAAGTCATTGTGTATGTGAGAGATGAGGAGGGAGATAAGCGTTGTAGGAGAAGGAAGAGGGCAGGAGAGGGCGTGAAAAAGAAAGAAAAAAAGTTCTAGAAGAGCGGGACCCGCGCTGATGAGATAAGATCAAATCAAGAATCGGGTGGGGAATCAACTGGAGCCGGGCAAGGAACGGGTGGACCACGGCAGCAACCACAACCACTTGCACGTTGCAACAAGAGACAGGGAGAGAGGAAGAAGAAGAAGCGGAATGTGAGAAAGGTTGCGAGGAGGTGAATATCCGTGAGATGATGAAGAGAAAGTCAAAGAAGTCAACAAAGGCAGGGGGTACCAGCGCTGTTTATAAAAGCTGGCCAAACCTGGCCAAAGGGTGGTCGTGGGGCATTGTGATCGCTAAGACCTGCTTTTAGGGATCAGGACTTCCCCTAAGTACAGGTCGAGGAGAGATGCCCGCCTCGGCCTCTTTCCAACCCTCTCCACCCCCCCTTTTTTATTAGCAATCGTTTTCGGACTCCGGTCATTCTCGGGCTGACAGAATACTATCTTACTGATAAGGACAGATCAGTCATGTTGGTGGTTAAATCGAACGGGTATCATCATTATCGTCGTCATGCACGAGCGGACTCAGCTCCGCGGGCTCAGCTCCGATCTAGGATCTCGTTTACTCTATGGTACATACGTACGTACTGTACTCGTACAACATCACTACTATACATACATCTATTTCGCTCCCTCCAAGATCAGTTCCCGCAAGACCGCATCAGCCTTGGGCGCCTCCACCCGCCCTTTCTCTCCCATGCGCATCATCTGTCCTACAAACCAACCCAGTTTGCCCAGTTGGTTCTTCTGTCGGATCTGCTCAACCATCAATGGGTTCAGTGCAATAGCTGCCTCCGCCAAAGCGATGTATTCCTCCCGCGACAAAGGCCGCAGCAACAGATTCTCTTCCTCTAGCAGCTGCGGGATCGAGCGCCGATCCCCGTCAAACACCAGAGCCAGCACCTGCTTGGCCGTGGGACCAGTGATGAGCTTCCGTTGAAGGTGGTCCAGCAGTGAGGCCAGAGAGTCGGCGGGGACGCACTGTGAGTCCCAAGGCAGTTCCGCCTTGGTCAAAAGACCCCCCAGCTCGTGCAGCACCCAATTACCTGCCAGGCGCGCCAGTGCCTGCTGCGTCTTCGAGTCCGTTCCCGGGTGCTGTTGGCGCAGGAGGTCCACGACGTCCTGATAGTACTCTAGTCGAGCACCGTCGTCCAGCTCTACAAGTGGCTTTGCATCTTCAGTCGTCAGCCCGTATTCCGCTCCGGTCAACAGACTGAGAAGCGCATCGGAGCCTGTTGGGAGTGTCCGTCTGAGCTCCGCGATCAAATCCTCTCCAATATAGACCGGAGGGAGATCAGGGTCCGGCATATAGCGGTAGTCCACCTCTCCTTCCTTGCCACGCAATCTGCGCGTCTCAGTGCTGCCGATGGTCCAGCCACGGGTTTCACCTTCCACTACACCGCCGCTCTCCAAGACCGCTATCTGGCGATTCTTCTCGGCGATAATGGCGTCCTCGACGGCTTTGAAACTGCTAAGGTTTTTAATCTCCGTACGCTGTCCCAGACCTCCGATCCCGCCATACTGATGGTTGCCGGCAACGTCGCCCCTTTGACGGATGGAGACATTGACATCCGCCCGCAAACCACCCAGTTCCATACCAGTTATAACCGCACTGCAGGACTGTAGGATCGACTGAATCTTTCGCACACAGGCCGCCGCGGTGGCCGGCGTGTGAATCTGGGGCATTGTAATAATCTCAATGAGCGGGTGGGAGACTCGGTTGAAGTCGAGCAACTGCGTCGAGGGAGGGTACTCCTGAGACTTGGCCGTATCCTGTTCCATCTGAATCTGCTTGATGCCGATCCGCACGTGGTCTCCATCCTCAGGGGCGATTCCATCATGACGGAAGAGGTCCACATAACCATTCTTCGCCAAGGGTTCTGCAGGGCATTAGTCCGCTGACGGCAGATGCTGCAGCTTGCGTGGCAGTCTTACCATAGTACTGCGTAATTTGATACCCGGCAGGCTGGTCTTGATAGAAGTAATGCTTTCGATCGAATCTGCTGACTGGCTGGATGTCACAATTGAGAGCGATGGCGGCGCGCAGGGCGGGGAGGAGGGTTGCGATTTGGAATTCCTAATCAATCACCAGATGTCAGTGGGTTGATGCGGTGAGCATGTGGTAAAGGAGTGGCACAGACCGGTTGACTGCCGGGAAAGGCGAGATCGAAGAGAGCTACATTGGAGTTGGGGAGTTCCGCCGATGAGGTCGGCGCTCCTATTCATGGCGAGGCTCAGTCGACTGTAAGTCCTGGAGATAATGACTTCACCCACTGGAAAAGAGTTTGGCCTCGGTGTTCAGCTGCGCGTGGATCTCAATTCCCACTGTCAACTCCCATTTTTGGCGGGATGCTTCCTCGTCCTCGCGAGTCTGTCGTTTGCGCGCCCTGAGAGACTTGGCATCCTGTTTGAGCTGCTTGCGCAGGGGAACTCGATCCGTTGACTCAGGGACTGCCGTGGTCTGAAGGGATCGTCGGGAAGAAGCGAGGGTGGAAGGGAGAAGGGATTGTCGAAGCTGTTGCTGCGGCGAGCGGCGGAGGAGATGAAGGCATTGCGGGCAAGTGAAGGAACGAGTGGCTCGCGGCCCTTGGCGCAGCCATGGTCGCAACATGACGCTCTGGCAGCGAGTAGGAAAGAATAGATGCGTTGGTGCAGATAAGTCGCTGGTCAATCAGTGGCTAGTAATTGGATCTTATTGGAGCGATTGGCACAGTTGGTGGTTCTTTCAGTCGGAAGAAGATATATAGACGGAGCAACGACGATACACGATAACTATACAATACAGCGCGGGTATAATACGGTAAGGCCGACGGCGGTGGACAACTCACCGCTTAATTAACAATGCAGATTATTTTCCTTGGAATGAAGTCTTTCAATCCAGAGCTTCCGATTCGCGATGCACTGGAAACTGGAGAAGAAAGTGTATGTGTGTGTGGGAGAAACGCCTTGCTGCATGTCATGCTACATAATGCAGTGTCGGCTTCGCAGTGCAGTCGAGTTGAAACCCCACCAATACAGTCCCAGCTTTGTAGCAACACTTCATCACCATCCTCATCAACAACATCAGATTGGGAGATGAAATGACATAGCTGGAGGGGGAGATAACACAGTTGAGGGGTCAAGAAAGAAGGAGGGGTGTGTGTTCGTGGTTATCAGAGTAGGCTCAGCAACGAGTCTCCATCAGCCAGCGCAGCAGCAACCAAAGCAGTAGAAGTACTGTACTCCGTACTCCGTAGTTGAGATGAAATGCAATGCAGATGATGAACTGCTTCTTCCCCACACACCAAAAAAACTACTTCCTAGTTTTCTCTTTTCTTCTTCCACCCTCCCCTCTTCTCCTTCCTATAACCCCATCGTCTATTTCTAGTCCCACCAGCTTGTTATCTTTTTCTCTTCTTGTAAAAAGCCATCTCTTTTACACACGCCCTACTCTTCTCTGCCTTTGACGCCCCCTCCCTCAGCTCTATAAGCTGGAACCGCTGGGGTGGACGAATGAGAGTCTCTCCACGATCGTCGCAAACATCCAACAATCGCCTACAACGCGGTCTGATTCGATTCCTCGACTGGGGGTCGACGTGTTTAAGATCTGTCTCAGTTCGAGTGATTCCCTGTCATCCTGCCGACGGGGCGCATACGCATTTTTTGGGGTCTGGAACGCCTCGCTGACGGACCATTCCGCGCATCTACAGTACATCCATCTAGATATCCATTCCTTCTTGCTCTACGATCCTGTCACCTCAGAACTACAAAACCAGCCTCGATTGTCAGCAAATTGCTGAGCATATCTCTACCCCGAAAAGAATCAAACACTTATAATAGAAGCAGTGCTCTGCATACAGCAGTCTATCAATCCTCTACACATTCTGTGCTACATTCTCGAGTTTCCCCTCCGCCCGCCGCGTCGCCTGACTGGTTCTTGTGGCTCTCCCTTGATATGCCTCCATTGTTGCCCCCTCCCACCAAATTATATCATTCTCAAGCCTGCTAGTTGTCTCACTTTCGGCTCCGGCTCTTCCATCGCATTGCCAAAGGGTATGGCTAGTGAATAAGAGGGCTTATCTTCTACTGCTCCCAGTTTCGCATCAGTGCTCTTGTGGTCGCGCTTATTTACTTCCAACATGCCGCTGTATGGCTCGTCCAGTCGCTCTAAGAAGCCAAAGAAAGATGGTACCAGTAAATCATCCACGGCTTCTGTTCTATCTGCTACTTCTCGGTCCACAAAGGCCTCTAGGGCGTCTGTGGATCGGCCGCAAGTAGGATCTCAAGATCCATCTTTTGTCTCGAAGAACACCGCTCCGAGCCCGGCAAACGTCTCGCGGACGCATACTTCTGCCAAGTCCGCCGAATCTGAGCGGACCGTTCCGAATGTTTTTGAATATCTAGACGAAGACGACTCCACGTCAGAAGAGGAGTCCTCCGAGGATGACGACTTCAGATCGCGTCGAATGTCTTACCCCTCATCAACCAGCGCGCAATCGAAAACGGCGTACGTAGGGTTAGGGCGTCAAAGCAAGTTGGGTAGACTTGGTGCGGATACACACAGTCGAACATCGTCCACTATGTCCAAGGGTTCTATTGACTCCCAACCATTGCCGACTGCATTTGATATCGCTTCTGGTGTGCCATCATTACACAAGACCAAAAGCAAACTATCTTCTCAGAATAAGAAGCCCCACGACACCCCCGCCGGCATATCTGCAGGCTCGAGTTCGCCTGAGAAACGGAGCTTAGAACTCAGCCCCCGACCCGATGCCTTCTATTCGCATCATTCGGCGGGCCAACGCCGGCCGCCTCTACCACCATCGCCGCCACGGAGCCCGGAGGAAGATTCTCAACGACCCAATCACAAACGCAGTCGTAGCACGAAGACATCACCACCTCCCTCAGGCTACGGTCTTCTCGCCTGGCGCCTGAGCTCATCCACTGACAACCAGGAGCCTCGTCTCCCACCGCTCTATCGCCGGTTCGAAGATGTAAACCATCGGGTGCTTCTGCATCTCCAGGACGAAATTGCACAGATGGAGGAAGACCTTCGTGTCCTAGACGAGTACGATCAAATGCATCGGGCAGCTACGGCCGAACAACAGGGTACCACGATTCTCCCAGCTTCGCGACGCATGGACGTCCAGGCACAGGTTTACTCTTCCCTGCATTACCGCAAGGAAGAGCTGCTGGGCGCACTGGCC